TTGAAATTTCCATTTTCAACTTTTAGACTAGCTTTGATAACAGTCAGATAGACTAAACATAATTTTCCCAAAAGCCCTTAGTTTTGCGAAATCGCAAAAATACACAATCGCTTCAAACATTGACAAAATTCTGTAATTTGAGGCTTCCAACAATAGCTTATCACTTAAGCTGATTTTAGCGAGCAACTGAGCGTTTAGCGGTTTGAATTTCGGATTCCAGATTTTCTAGTTACAGCCTGGGACGAGTCTGGAAACAATAATTACAATGATTTTATCTTCGGAAATTATACAAATCAGGAAGAAAAGAAGTCTATCAGAAAGAGGAGAAAAAGCTGCATCGAATGACATCCTGGTTGCTATTCATTTGTTCATCTTGAGGAATGAGATGCCAGATATGGAATTTGATAGCACCAGAAAAATATTTTTGAAAATTTTGAGAAGCCAGCTAATGATGTCAAAAATGCGTTGTATTGCATTTTGTTTAGTCTATCCAACTTCAAAGCTGGTCCAAAAGCTGAAAATGGAAATTTCAAAACAGAGCCAAATTCAAGATAGGTGAAAATCATGAGTTGGAGATCCCTGCCGATTATTGAGCGGACATTAGGGGAATCTGAACAAAAACATAAACATTAGAAAGAGAAGGAAGTTCTGCATAGGATTTCTGAGAAAGAGCATTCCAACACAAAAATTAAGAGCCTTCATAGAGCATTCTGATGTAGTTATAAGCATATAGTCCCTTTTATTTATTTCTTCGGAAATTTTTGCTAAGCTTAAAATCAAAAATATTTTCCGTCCAATCGTTTAGAAAAATTTTGATTTTTTGAGTTTCTGGTTCTCTCTATGTTCTGAATTTATCATGACTTACTTTCTCAAATTTTTTGAATTCTCAGAAATTTTCATAAATTTTTTGTTTGTTGAGTTCCAAGCAATATACTTTCTTCTGATGTTTTTGATAATTATTGGAAGCTACCTTTCGCTACCTCCACTCCCCCCCCCTCCCCCTCCCTCCTCCCTAAACCCATAAATTTTTTCATAATGTCTCCGCATTTGTTTTCGTCTCTTTGCGGCGCACATTAGAATTCTCAGTGATTTGCAACGGTTGCATAACGGGTACAAGAAGGTCATAAACTTGCCAAGATAGATAGCATCGGCGACATCGTCGTCGCGGGGGGCAGGTGCGGCGGTACATCGTTGGCGGGTTTTTGCACGGGGGCACCCCGCAGCGCTATTTTTGCTTCCTTATCCGTTGCGGCGATGATAAGAAGAAAAGTGGCAATTCGACTCGCCTGGGTATTCAATTTTGACAGAGGCAAAAAAGGTGAAAATGGAAGTGAAAGGGAAAGAGAAAGAGAGAAAGAAAAAAATAACAAAACCCGTTTACTCCATACGCACAAAAATAAAAATATGATTCGCAAGCTAGCGCACTGGACATACCCTTTGATTCAACAGGATTGACTACTGGAAGGCTTCGAAGCCTAATTGAGGCGAGGGAGTGATTAGAGGGCACGTTATGCGCGAGAGAGACGCAGATTGCGTCGCGGGTGCGAGCGATCGCCTTCCAGCCGCCAATTCCGTCGAATCAAAGGGTAGTTGATTAATAATGAAAATAATATCCTGTATGTCAGAGTGCATACAGTATACCCTTAGTAACCTCATCTTTGAGGGTCGGTAGACCTACGGTAGGGAATCAGTATTCTCGGATTTGCTGCAACTTTGCATGGAGAAGTTATTTGACATGGTGATCACAAAATATCATAGTCGCTAATTGGATAGCTGACTGTGGGAAGAAGGTACAATCCTTAGCATAAACCTACCGTAATCCCACAGTAGGGGAAGCTATGGTAGGCTTATATTTTTTTGCAACATTACATATTTCTGCCGACCTAACTAGAGATGGTCAAAGTCTGAATGACATTCCTTTTCAATTTTACCTAACATATAAGGAATCGTTTACTCAGTTCAAAATCTTCCAATAGCGGGAAACCGCGGCGGGTCCCGAAGCGAACGCTCTTCCAAATGGCACCTTCAGACTACTGGTTAGTTTTCAAAAAAGTTCATAGTAGAGTCGCGGCGATGTACAATCGCAAAGAAGAAGAATTCTCATTATTAAAATTAGAAAGAAGCAATTAAGAAGAGAGCGAAAAATTACAAAAAATTTTTAAAAATAAAACGACATAAATTTCGGAACGACTAATATCTGTGATGTCGAAAACAACCATGCAAAGTTGTAACAAATTTAAAAATGTAGTAGTCTGGGTGTAGTACATTATACCTACCGTAATCCTGCGAAATTAACGTTTTAAAGAATGCAATAAGTTTCAAGAATGAAGAGAAAAATGACGAAGTGATTACAAAACTCCCTTCAACTTCTGTCTAATCAGCCTCATTACAAACTCTACTCTTTTCTTTTCCTTTATAAGCAAAAAAGACCATTACTATGAATAGAACGTAAAATTCTCATACAAAACGCTCTACACACTTTCATCAATGCCCAATGACACATGCTATTGTTGTATTACGAAGCTTTTGAACATTTGAACGACACATGCTGTAGTACCACAAAGCTTGAAAGAACACCTTTTTGTAGGTATAGAACACTATACTGATACAACGTAACGCATTCCATCAAAAGAAGAAAGAATTCAAGATGAATGATACTGTACTGTGTTCTGTACACAAGTACAGAACATTCTATATTCAGTACAGAGCTATTCTTTCTCTGGGATTACGAAGTGACTCAAACTTTGCTAGTACCCGCGCTTAACTGATTTTTACCTTTGTTGAAGCTTAAGTTAACATTGCACCAAAAAAAGAGAAGCTCAATTTTGCTAGCAGACTTCTTAGTGCATAATCTAGGAATAAATATTTACTGTCTTGTTTTCTTTCCAAACCCTAAACTAACACGTCTCGTAGAAAGAAAAGCAAATGCCACAGCTTTCCGAAAAATTTAATGGCACAACTGACTTTTTTACGTTTCAGTACAGATAATCTGCAGGAAGGAGCAAGGAAACTTTTCGCAGAACCGGAAGCTCGCTGTCCCTGATGGTGGAAATACAGCAAAAATTAGAGTACAACATAAGTTTACAACTGAAACAGGTCATAAAATAACCACTCATTTTTGAAATAAAAAGGAAAGAGAAGAGGGTCGCAGATTACATAAATGTGAATTTTCTTGAACTCACACAATTCACCGGAACTTCCGCAGCATAAGCAAAATTTGCAGCGGTTCCGCAGCATTTTGTTTACTATTGCAAAAGTAGAAACGTTGAAAACGAGGACTTCCGCGGGATTTTCACGTCGACTGGTTAAGAACGAGAATTTCCGCAGGATCTTTTATAAAGCGCTGCGGAAATTTCGAAGAACAGCGGTTCCGCAGCACTCGGACATGCCAGTACTTTCGTTAGGTTTTAAATGTGGCCTCGTTAACAACTATAGTGCATCATCGAACATGTCAGCCGTAGTAGTGCAGAAGATGGTAAGTCTTACAGTCATAGAGTAAGGTTCAAATCTCTCTTAGGTGTTCTCTTTTGCTGTTGTTGTTCGCTATTTTCGGAACTTCCGCCGCACCTGATTTGGGAACTTCCGCGAGTGACCTGGAGGAACTTTCCCAAACGTTCTGCGGGAGTTCCGGTCAATTGTCTGAGAAGTTCATCAAGTTTAAAGCAGTTAAAATGTCGGCCTTGCCTATTAGTGCTTTATTGATCAAAACATCAACCATTATGGAGCTGAGATATCATAAAAGCGCACAAAAAACCATAAAAAGAAAAAAACACACAGCAGTCTTAAGCGAATATAAATTAATTTCATTCATAGACCCCATTGACTAGTAAAGAAAGTTGTTTAACAACAAATAGCTCATAAACGTTCCTCTGCATGCTTTTAGTACTCGTGAATAATTATTTGCTTGTACATCATGCAAATCAAAGTGTGAGAACGAGACCAAAACAGCCATCAAGACCGCAGTGAAACTGCAGGAGAATCGGTACAGAAAGTATTAGGATGCCCTGTAAATAAACTCCTTTTCTAAAATAAATTAAGCACTTTTTGTTTTCCTGGCAGACTTACGATATCATTCGATAGAACGAAGCAAATTGACCACCAAAAATCCGCCTAATTCATAATCCAGATCATGCGGTTTTAGTCGCGATGCGATTTGGCAATATTCCAACTGTCCATAACTCATTGTCAGCACATTTTAAATGCACAGAAGATAGGGCATTCCATCATTCCACGTAACATATACACACTATGCATGTGCAGTTTGCTAGCGTTGAGTCTGAAAGACTTCTGGCGAATTGCCAAATCGCGTCGCGACTCTAACACTGCAAGCCTCAGTAAGTATAACCTCAAAATTTTAAATCTGTATGTGCCTTGGTAATCGAGAAAAACCAAGTTCAACATAAAAAACGCGAAATGAGCGATATTTTTACATTTTCGGGCTATATTTATTTCATTTTGAGACCCGGAAACAATCAAATGCATTTTTCGGTACTACCACATGTCCACTTTATGATGACCAAGTTGGAGATCCGTACGAATTCTCTGGAAAGAGATCCTACTTCTAGGATAGTTGGAAAAATATGATTTTGGGCTTCAAATTCTACCAGGGTTACGACTTAGGCGGATATTTGGTGGTCATTTTGTAGAGCTTGCTTCGCTCTATCAAACGGCACCCTAAGTCTGCTAGTAAAACAAAAAAAGGGTTAACTTATATGGAAAAGGAATTTGCTGTTGGGATACCCTAATACATACGACGCAGGAATTTTTGATCTCGTATCTAGTCTGTGCTGGACATCTCAAAATGTTCTTTTCTCAGTCAAAACCCCTTCACCCACTTCACACCAGTAGTGTTTATTCTATTACTGTAGCATACCTACCAATTACCCAGAAAACTTTTTTCTGAAAGAGAAGAAGCGCGAATCTCTCGAAGAGGGAAAACAGAAAATAGCTTTGAAGCAAGTCGGTTTGCGCAAATTGCACGAAAAGGTACGAAAATAAACTCAGCGGATTTGCTCTTCGTTTCCGACATAGTGAGATCTCCTCGTTCTATGCCACGGTGAAAGTAGACTTTGGACAAAGTAAAATCCAAACGGCGATTTCGAAAAAAAAACTGGAATGCTAGAAATCATGGCTTTGTAGCGAGAAACTGTAATGGTCTTAGTGGGGATTTGTAATGCTTGCTTATTTTTGCATCTTCATAAATGTAGGAGAAGGACTCGTATAAAAAATCATAGAAATCCTCAAAGCTCTAATAATAGAAAAAACGAGAAAAAGGCCTTTAGATCAAAAATAATAAAATGAAACTAGTTCAACCATAACCCAAACAAAGCAAGCTATTTACTTTTCTTTTACTCCAAGAACATTGGGTTTGTAGCTATATCTAACAAAGAATACAATAGTAATGGAACATACAAAAACTGTTATGGGAATGGCATGAATGGAGACAGTTCCAATTTGATTGAAAATGGCAGTATTCACAAGTTGGAAAGCGGAAACAGTATACAAACATTGCAAAAAAAGAACACTCGTTAGAGCAGTTGCCTAATAATCACTTCTCGCGACGGACTGATTAAATATTGATAAAGATGTTTACTCATAGTGAAAATATCTATAAAATTAACGTTCTTCAAGAATTTATTTGATTAAAAACAGATAAATCATCACTTTCACAAAAAAAAGAGATAGAAACAAAGACTTCCGCAATCAAAGTGATTAGAAGAAAAACCCAAACAAAATGCTGTGAAGGAAGGAGATTCTGAAACAAAAGAAGCAAGAACAAAACAGCGATACAAGAACAACGATAAACTTCTATTTCTGATAACAATAACAATCCACCAATAATTTTCTATAGGAAATTCCTGAATCGTTACCTAAAACTCTGAAGCTACATCCTTACATAGCTAAGTTGCTTCTGGACCCGCATCCTGCGTTGTCGATACTATAATTGGATTGACTATAAAAGTAGTCTCTGGATCGTACTTATTTGGAATCGTGAGCAGTGGCAGCGCTAGCGTCACGGTCGTAGGATTGCGTGAAAATGGTGGTGCAAACATGACCATCTTTGGTTTCAGCCATGAAACGGACATACCCCAAGCACTGAAAATCGAAATTAAAAGTAGATTGCAAGATTGACAAGGTACCTTTGAAAAAAAAAACTTCAGTTCACTATACGGCTGCATCCAGAGTTGTCCCCCTGCCAGTGCCGTGCCAGTGTCCTCCACAGATCGACAGGTGCGCGGCTAGCACGGTGCTGGCACGGACAACTATGAACGCACTCTGGAAAGCAGGCGGTTGTGGCCAAAACAGAGAAAAATTACCTGTGCTTCAAATTTGCCCAAGAGGGTTGAATGGTAATCCAATCGTGAAAGCTCACTAATTTTTAAGCTTTATTCCAGGTCCTTATTTGAGATTACGGTAGCAAGTACGGTGAATGGACCACAGGCGCGAATTCGATTAAAATTAGGTGCAATGTGCCCCCGTCAAAGATTTTATTCTCCACTTTTCAGGTTTTATTAGGTGTTTTAAATGGAGTGAAACATTTCCAAGGAATCAAGCTGCAATTGATTTTACTGAGTGATTCTCTTATTAATGCCGATTTCTTCTCATTTCTATTCGATCTCAGGCTGCTACTGCAATTTCTTCACTTCTGTGACTCAACCATATATATATATATATATATATATAATAAAAAATTACACATGAACAATGCTATGATGCAGTCAAGATTTCATCATAATGCCTGTTCATCTAAACACCATCCGTAAACAATACAACATAACACATTGAGCGAAAATGAGTCAGTATTTTCGAAAACATGAGTCAGTAAATCCTGATATGTGATTTTTTTACTACTGTACATGCTTGAAATGTTCTGCCGCAGTGATTGATAAATTCTTTGATTCCTGGATGACTAATGCCTCCGTACCGGTTCAGAAATCAAATTTCCTAGTGAAATATCGTCGTAAAATTACGCTAATAAGATACAATGATTGGACCCCTCAGCGGCAATCACACTATGGAAATGGCTAGAAAATTATAAAATTGAAAAAACTGATGATTGTAATTTGAAGATAAGATATGCTGACCTCACTGTGCGTTCTACTTCGTAGGTTTTCGTCGACACGTTTGGATCCCTCTTTATCATAATTCGTTCAGAACGACGAGCAAGCACATATTCAGCAAATTTGCCTAAACGAAAGCATGGAGTGGAAGGTACTTCCCTATGATGGATTTTCAATTATTGCTGACAGTAGGCCTCTGGGTCAGAATTTCGCATGTGTATAAAATTTATTTTCTGAAGTTCCGAGATCTTTTTTTTTGAGAGGGTGGATAGGAAAAGAGATAATTTTTGGAGCTAATCTTGATTTCCGAATGGAAATTCAATGAGGTAATGGCAGCTAAGTTTCGGCAAAAAAATTTCACAAAGCTAGTGCATTTATAAAAAATCATTTGGATTATTTATAGGTGAAACATTCACCGTCACCTTTTTACTCCTAGAGCAAACGAGATCCTACCCCCCCCCCCCTCCTTGTAAACCGGTAATTTTGTTATCACAGAAAAATCTTCGACGACTGCGCTATACTCTTGATTAGCTTTTGAATAAATCTAACGCGAAATGCAGTGGAACCAAATGCTGAAATATTGGGATATTCACAAAATCCTGCAAATTCTTCTTCTGGTCAATCAAGAATAGCTATAAACAGCATGGGCAATCTGAAAGCACCTGAAATATTCATCTTATTTTTCTCCTCCCTACTCCTCCCAAAGACCTCTTTCATTCCACAAAATAAGTACCCACGTGCGCGTCCAAACAAATTCATCCTGGTCACCAAGTTCCTTGTGATCGAATCATCTTCATCGGAAGAGCTTTCCTCGTCAGACTGCTTTTCAGTCCCAGTATCTTCTTCTGTCGATGGCACGCGTGGCACCAGACGTGTGACTTCGTCAATGTCGTATAATTCTGATCTCAGCTGGCTCTCATCATCGGAATCAGCCACGAGGTCCTAAAATAGTAGAGCACAAAATTGTCAAGAGCATATTTTTTCATTCAATTGTTTGAAACCAGGCCAAAACTTCCAAGCGCCATTTTGTGCTCTGAAAAATCAAAAATTTATGAGGCGTTCCACACGACAAAAATGAAAGGAATTCAAAATATCTGCTGAAAGGGAAGCGTGTTTGATCGAAATGGCCTTTTCAGATGAGATCCATACTGCTTTAACACATTAACGACAAGGTCGATTTTTCGATCATTGCCGTTTCGGACCAGGGCCTTTTTATTGACCCACCTGTGGGTCGTATTGTCCGGAATGGTAGTCTTTTTGGAGGAAATTCAAAACATGTCTCCGAGAATTTACCTACAGAGGTTATCGGAGGCGCTGATTACCAAAATATGATTATTTCACTTTTTGGCAGTATACGGTAAGTTATGGTAGTCATTTTGTACGAGCCCAACATCATGGATTTTCATGAAAAATTGTGTTTTGGGGCTATTTCACGTGCTGATCACGATCATAGTGTCCACTTTGTTCACTACTTTGCCACGGTGGGACTACGGTAACAGTACGGTAGAATTTTCGTAAGAATCAAGAAACTAATGTGAGAAAGCCGCATTAGACCTTGAGGCTATCACTTTCGTAATAAGCATGCTAAAAAACCTAAATATGTAAGTTTTGAGCTTCCTGGGATGAACAGTGCGAAAAATCAATAAAATCAATAAAATCAATAATTTTTTATTGGCTGACATCAGTCTCATGCCCTCCTTGTATTTCTCGTGCATGCAGATGGTTCTTTAAAAACAGCACCACGCTGCGAAGGATCTGAGCCAAAGTCTGTGCTTACCTCTATCTACGGTATATGTACCTTCGTAAAATCACTTTACAGTATCCGAACCCAGATCACTCTGGCTGGAGCTTCGCCAAGGTGTCCCCAATCATGTGCCAGAATCCCCTTGTTTTCCATCATGTTCTGGCAAAGTTAGAGCTTCAGGAATCTTACGACCCACCAGTGGATCGTATTGTTCCAAAACGAACACGTACGACCCACCGATGGGTCGTACGTGTTCGTATGTATTGTCGTGAAGGTGTTTAAGAGTATTGCACGGTGATTCCAAATCTGCCTTCCAAATCTGTCAAACGCCTGTGGAAGCCGAGTTATGACCGTTTTTTGGAACGAAAAATGAATGCAGAGTTTAGGTAAAATCGATTGTTACAATCTTTCCATCGCTCAGATAAAGCAATGTCAAGTATTAGCATATTAGACAAAATGTATCCATTACATAAACTGATACTTGGCGCAGGACCATTTGAGCATATTTGGGCCTTTCTGACAAGAAAAAAGCCCATAATTCGGCATCCAGAGGGCGTTTGGCAGATTTGGGAGGCAGATTTGGAATCATCGCCTAATGCTCTCCAAAGCAGTATGGTTCTCAAATGGAAAGGCCACTTCAACTAAACACGCTTCCCTTGTGAGTTCATTCTGCTTCAGTGTCCATGCTGTGCAGCTATACTTAGTACATTGTTGCAGGAGCGCGCACAACTCTGCGCGCCGCATTGGATCTTGATCTCACGTGGCACGTTATCCTGCGCGCTATACAGTATGCATATTGAGTGTAGAACGCCCTAGAACGGCCTATCAACTATTCCAACTATTTCCGACTACCTAGTGCGATTGTATAACCCATTTCAGTTTGATTTTTGTTTGAAAAAAAGCCGTTATGGAATACCTGCGTACACGGAACTACGCCACCCGAAGCACTTGATCTAGTTTCTACAGATAATGCGGCACCATTGCCCGCATCGCTTCTGTGCTTCTCGCTTTTTTCATCGGGTGACGAATCCAAAAGCATAGGGACATCGTTGCTAACAGATCCTTTGTCTGGTGCCTCTACAGGTGGAAAATTCCGTTCTGCCCTACACGTGGCTGGAGAAAAATAAATTACGTTACAAACAGCCTTGTATTAGACTGCTCACTTTCATTTTCAGATTTGGAACTATGGAGGAGCTCCCGCGCAATGTTTTCCAAACTCCTGAAGGCGTAAAAAATAAACACAATTTCTTATATGCTCGTTAGGTTTATACTCACCTGCTTCTTTCTAAATGGAGCGTGATTTGAGAATCTGCAACTGATTCTGCTGATACTTCCCTCACTGATGCTGGACGATGATCATCTAAACTATGTCAGAATGGTCAAGGAAGATTCTCAACAAGAGGTAAGTCATTCTGATAGATTCAATGTTGTAAGAGAGAGACGATGAGGACGGAGAGATTGCTTGCTCAAGGGATGCCAAGAACATCCCAACGGCGTTCAATAAGTGAGGCATTTTCGAATTTTGCTTGCACATAATTGCACATAATACGCAATAGCAAAGTTATTCTCGCGTCGTCGACCGCACAGAGTGACCGAAAATTGCGGAGCACGCGCGACGCGGCTGTGTCTCACGAAACCACGACTTGCGTAACGACGATTGGCTCCGCGATTTACGGCCAGTTAGTGCGGCCAACAACTTTACGGTACTTCAACAACCACAAAGTTAAAAGAAATATTATAACATAAATCGGTACTATTCCAGTATACCGACCCCAAAAATTAAAAATCTCGGATTTCGCTCAAACTCGGTATAGGGGGGTTATTCGATCCGCTGATGCCGAATATCATGTCGATTCCGTGCGATAGCGCCATTTTCCGGGGGTTACGGTGGGTATACGGTAGGAGGTCAAAATCACAAAATTCTCTGAAACTTGGTGCAGGGGGTTATTTGACATGCTGAACACGAATATGATATCCATTCGTTACGGTAGCACCTCATTCCGGGGTTATGGTGGGTATACTGTAGGAGGGTCTAATTCACTGCTTTCCACACCCACCGCCGCGCGCGATACACCCTGCGGCGGCTTTTGCCTAAGCAAAGCAGGGGGAGAAAATTTCCGACGTGTGACTGAGATTTCAAGACCTGAATCTCGATCTAGCGGTGGTATTGGTAATGTATACCCAATGTAACGTCAGAATGAGGCACTATCGTAACTAATAAACATCATAATCGTGATCAGCATGTCAAATAACCCTCCTACACGAAGTTTCAGCGGATATCGTGATTTTGACCCCTTACCGTATACCCACCATAACCCCGGAATGAGGAGCTACCGTAACGAATGAACATCGTATTCGTGTTCAGCATGTCGGATAACCCCCTCTTACCGAGTTTCAGAGAATTTTGTGATTTTGACCCCCTACCGTACACCCACCGTAACCCCCGGAAAATGGCGCTATCGTACGGAATCGATATGATATTTGGCATCAGCAGATCGAATAACCCCCCTATACTGAGTATGAGCGAAATCCGAGATTTTTAATTTTTGGGGTCGGTATACTGGAATAGCGCCCATAAATCAAAAAAGCATGTACCCGTTTTGAGGGGTGACTCCTCAACAAGAATCTTCTCTAGAACGGAGCTACTGTAACTACGAGACAGATACTCTGCAATGGTAAAGACTTCAAACTCAATCGAACAACATATTAGTATGGAAAAAGTACCATCCGATGTCGGAGCTTTGGTTGGTGTAAGCTCCAAGACCACATCTTTCCTGTGCAATTTTGGAAATGAAGGCCCTGAAAGAGTTCCCATACTATAAATCAGTCAGCAATAACAAATAACCATGTGTCAGCATGCTAATGATACTACCATTGCACTTTCATAGCTACAGGTGTCAATAGAAACGCATGCGAGGTTAGGCGAAAATTTGAAGAAAAGTTTGACACGCACATTTAGATGATTTGTCCGCGTTGGCAGGCGTGACCTTCCGATTCTTTGAAACACTCATGGACATAAACCATGGCAAAGAAGTTCGTCGCAGTTTGATATCTACGAAATAAGATGTGGAAAATCAAGGAAACGACGAGTAAGGAACTTGCTTTTCGCTAATTTTTCGCTTTTTTGATGTCTTTCGGAAGTCTTTTGAATGGAGGACGTGCTGGGACTGGCATCGGAAACGGATTCGGCGGACGGCTCAACATTGACATTTGGAATCGTCGAGATTGGGGCAGATAACCTTTTAGCTGTTGGTGATTCATCTGGGAGAACTTCATGACAGGATTAACCTACCTTTCACAGCTCTACGCGATGACCACGATAACGAAGGATCTGGTTTACGTTTTGGCCTTGTCGGAGGTAGGTTGATCACTGGAGTCACTTTATACAGGCATGAAACTAAGTTTTCTAGAGCAAGAAATTCAAAAACTAGGAAAAAGTCAAACACAGGGAAGAAAGAATGTCACCATCTTATATTATATATATATATATACAGCTGAATGTCTGTTTGTCTGTCTGTATGTATGTCTGTCCGTACGTATGTTCCGAATTGAAAATTCCATTTCTGAACCGATCGGGACCAAACTTAGCACACAAACACTTCGGGCCCCGGCGGGTGTCATAGGCTACTTTTCGTCATCGATCGATATCGATCGATAACGAAAAGTGGACTGTGACACCCGCCGGGGCCCGAAGTGTACATATGTGTGCCAAGTTTGGTCCGGATCGTCGGTTAAGAAATGAATTTTCTATTCGGAACATACGGCGGAGCCGGGTAAGCCAGCTAGTATCGTATAATTACAAGGATCCATATGGTTAATATTCGATCAAGTATCTGATTATATGATGTCCCTCTGGTGTCGACATCTGGGGACAACACTTGCGCGTGCAAAATTGCCAGGAGCGCACTTGGAGTGCGCGACCTATAGCCATTTCACACCAGCATGCTAAATTACACGTGTGGCGACTCACGCGCAAATGTTGCCGGCAACGTGGGCAAGCAATGACACGGAACCTACCGTATGTTTGATGCGTTGACTCTGAAGTCACCGTCAAAATCTGACTCTAATTGGTATGAAACTGCACTAAAACTCATCTTTGGATGTTTCCACATTTTATGTGAACTTAATCTAGCTAGTACTTTTTGAATAGCAAAGAAACTACATATGATCCTGGAATCTGATGAGCATTTCGATGCTTCAAGATTTCGATAAATAACTGTTCACGAGTGAATATAATGGCGGTAAGTATGGGTAGATCCACTCACAATCTGTTGGCGATGGAACTTTAGTGCTAGCACATAACCATTCTTCTCCCGTACTGCTACTGCTGCTATCGTTTCTAACTGTCTTTGAACAGCAAGGCTGCTCTGCATCGGGCAGCCCTCCACTCTTTCGTTTATCCATCAACAAAACAGCAAAACTATATTTTGATCCCTACAGATGCCCGCTGTATAAGTATAAAAGATGATAAGTAACCTCAAACAAAGGCAACGAATATTGCGATATTTACTCTGTTTAGCACAAAACAACCCGATATCAGAAATCTATCACAAACTTATATAAGTAAAGAAAAGTGTACACCAGGAGCAAAAACGGCAGGGAAAATAAGTTGCAAAAATTTGCACTTAACAATGATCTCAGATATTAATTATTGAAATTCAACATCCAACTTCATCTTCTTCTACGGTGAACGACCAAGGAATCATGTTGATCATAGAGTTCTGGCGTGCTCCTATTGCTATCTTCAACGGGAGTTTGCAACAATGTCAGTCGCTTCCTGAATTGATGAGTTTTTGTGTAATTATCAAAGGCTAGAATTTAGCATGACAAATAATAACAAGAAACATCTAAAACTGCGTACCTGACGGTTTCGACAAGTTTGCTGTCGGCATCTGGCATCGCTCCCAGCATAAGCGAAGCTCGCTCCAGATACTCCACTTCGTCGGAAAGCTGAAAAAAAAATAGTAACAGAAAATTCAACTATCACGTTATGCCCCCTCCCCCTTTGAAAAGCATTTGAATCTACAAAGCAAGAAAGTCAGTTCGACAGCTATTCCCCACATCCGATACAGTTGAGGAGAGGCTAGAACAAAAATCACAGACACAAATTTGCAGACGGCACTCACACTTTTTGAAGCCACTAGATCAGTGAAAGTTGTTTCATCCTTCCTCAATAAAGCGAAAATTACGGCGGGGTTTGCGGCAGGCCTCATATCTGTACCATCCAAGAGAACTCTTGCCGCAGCTTCACAAGCTTCTGGTCCGACCTGCATTAGAAAAAAAAAACATTTTTTCAGAGTCAACTCCTAAGAAAGTTGAAGTTTTATAACTACCGGTATAGCGAGAAGGCCGTCTACCAGAGAAAGAATAATGCGATCTGGTATGTTGATGATAAAGTCACGAAGAAATTTGGCATCAGAGTAAAGCTGCACAGCTTTTATTCCTAAAGCTGCGAAAGTGATTAAATTTATAAGACTCAACTAACTCGCATCAGAACTTAAAAACCCACCCCGCTTCTTCTCTAGAATTTTCTTCAAGACAGGTAAAGCAGCTCGTTCCGGTTGTCCTTCACCAAACAATGTAAGATAAGCTATGAACTGCTCATTTGAAGTCATCAGTGGACCGACGCTAGCGCGTAGCTGTTGATGGAGCCTATCTGGTTCTGCACGAAGTCTTGGCAAATGACCGCGCGCTTTTAACACTGCCTTTGCTTCAGGAATCGACATCCTAAAATTTTTGGGGTGGGTGGAGAATTCTACTGAGATCAAAAAAACCTACGACGTCAGCGCATTTTCCAGAGAAGCAAAATGTATCGGCCAGTCGTTCATTTTGAAATCAGCTGCTAACTGAAGCGCATCCGCATACATCATTTCATCATCTGACCTAAAACAAGATTATGTTTACATTTGAAAAAATATCATTGAAGTCAGAAGCGCGTAAAGCCACTAACATTGCCAGTCCTATGATGGTTTCTGTCCGATATTCTGAATCTTCGACGAAACGCTCGCGATCACAACCTAGATAACAAACAAATAGAATAGATACGCGGCAATGACGTGGTGGCTTTGAGGGAAAGATTTACCATAATTAGATATCCTATCCAAGATCGTAACATTTGCATCTGACATTGTTGTCTGGGAGATCAGAACAGAAGGAGGTATATGTTCTATGAGATTTTCATTCAACTGTGGTTCGAGGAAGCGAAGTGCCTAGAAGCAGAACAAGATTTTAATTTAAAGCTGGGAACCCTCCAAACGACATACCTGTTCATATTTCAGCAAAAAGTCGTTTTTCGTCCATTGTGGGGACTCATTTTCAGTCATAGCTGTGCATAACGCCAGTGGCGCACTGATATTGGTCAGGATAGCTGCCAACTAAAGAACAAAAATGTGCGGAAAACTGGAGAAATGTTTCAGATGATACCTCACTGGTTGGAATATCCGAACATTCATTGAGAGTTCGACAAGCCTTCTTATCTGGCCGCAAGATATACTGGCTAGTTCTCGGCTGAGAGTGAGCGATGGATTACGGTAGATGTGGCGATTAAAACGACAAAGAGCTTACCCTTGCATACATTGCGTCGATCACCAATTTGTCATTGATTTCTGGCTTTTCGTAATCTCGTCGTTTTCTTGCTGCTCTATGATTTTGGATCAGGTCCAAAGTCTCCAAGAGTTTGTCTTGTGGAGCGTTCAGAAGAGCGCATGCATATATATCGTCCATGACCTATACGGAAAGTACTGACCATGTGAAAAATGAGTTCTACTATGGAATGAGCAAACACTCACTCCAGGAATGTATGGAGAATCCATGATGCGCATGCAAAGCTCGTGGACAACGGGTAGATCGCGCCCCTGAATTATACAGGCTTGAACGACGGAAACAAACAAAAAGGTATATAAAAACCTATTACGGCATAAGTAAAATTGAAGAAAGAACGTTCTCATAAGCATCTCACCTTCTCTATGACTTTATGAATATACTTCTTCAAATATCGTTCATCATGCTCGACTAGCGCCGACAACGCACATAAAGAGAGAGCCGTAGCAACTGGTGTGTCTACCCCAAGAAGTACTGCGAGTTTTGCGCATTTCTCGCCCTGACAGAACAAAGAAAATCAGAACTGACGAAAATGCGACATCCAAATTGGAAAAAAATCTCTATCGGATAATATTTGAAAATTATTCAATTGATTCATACCTGCTTGTAGTTGCCACTCATCTTTACTATCTCCTTCAAAAACTCATACGGGTCAGCAAATCTGAAATGATTGAGCACATCACAATAAAACTCTTTAGGAACGCTTACTTGATGGAAACTGGTAAAATGGTAGATCCAAGCTCATGCGCAAGCTCTACGGTATCAAGCAGCTTCAACTGCTGCGCAGCTTCTTTCGGGGCGATCTCTCGCGCAGCCTCAGCCAAGCTGCGCGATTGCAACAATACTGGATCATCGGGTCCAGAAGCTTCTTGCATCATTTCTTCGCTTTTTCCAATGAGCGCCTGAATATCTACACTCTGCCATGGAAGCAACAACATAAAACTAGAAAAAGGAAAATCAAAGATACAAGAACAAGTATGTGCAAGACTCAGCAACTTACCTCCGCACTCTTTTCAACTCCCAGTTTTCCTCTTTCAACTTTCTTTCCCGATGCATTCTTGTCCAGCGTTAGGAAAAGCTGGAGTACACGCTTGTCGTGTGGAATGCGGGTATCTGACAACATTTCGCGAGTCACGATATCGACAGCTTCATCTGGGTGGATCATTGGGTAGATGCTGCAAAGAAGAAATCGGCTAAAGTAGGAGAAGAATTGACTTTGAGCTGTTTTCAGCATCACTTCAACGCTTTACCTATTAGATCAGAAAAAAATGAGAAATGCAGACTGCTCAGCACTGTTTAGAAATGGTCTGATTTGCAGAGGTTACTAAATGTCTCAACCACCCGATATTTTCTAGGATCTGACCAAAACGACTTGAGAATAAAAGAAAAAGAAAAAGATAGTGATCGGGAGAGTAGAAAAGAGAATGCATCAAATCAATCTGAACTGACTCTTCCGTAAGCTCTAGTACATCATCACGTAACGTTTGCCATTCAGCTATGGTCCCTGCTTGTCCACATCTCGACATCCGGATAAGCAACCTTCGTGCTGCATCACTACAAACACAGAATTAATTCAAAAAATCTGAACTTGAGAAATCACTCACACATTGCTTGTGCTCTTCCAGAGTTGTTTGAATGTCGGCTTGACACCTCGCAGGTGAAACGCGACTAATGAGCTTGCCAGCTCGGGACAGACGCCAATTGAGTGCACTGCTCGTAAGAGATTGTCACCAACCAGCTCCAGATTGCAAAGGCATTCAATGACCTTGATAAAATGATTGAGTGCTATATTTGAAAGCAATCAAAGAAAACATACCATGTCTCTGTCCACGATTTTGCTCCGTTCTTTGGCAAAAACCTTTAGAACGTCGACGCTACTTTGACTTGTAGCAAGAAGAAACGAAGACACAGCTTTTCTCAGCTCTTCGTCAGGATTTTCAGAATTTCGTGTTTTCCATTTCAGTAACGAGAAAATAGGAGAAGCATGTCGCACCAACTCTTCCGATGGAAGCTGAAGTACAAGTTCTAAGGAGTGATGCTGAGGCAAGCATTAAACTGGTGCCAAGCTCAAAAATCAAGACCAGAGTAAGTCAAAAAAAGAAGGCTACCTTCTTCAAGAAAGATACGTAATGATCTACAGGAGCTGCACAGAACCTCTGGAACGTTTCACCAACGAGAGCGCACATAGTCACGAAAGACTTGTAGTACGAAAAGCTTTCCAGATCTTTCTCTAACTCCTAAAAATGCACAGAAGTAAATCAAAACTCTTGAGAGGGACGTATGGACCTACTTCATAACCCCTTTGAACAGCGAGACTGAGCAATGTGACGCAGTGATCGGGTAATCCAGCTTCTGAATCCATTAGCTCAGCTCGACTTCTGGCCCATTTAGCAAAATCGCTCAACGGCGTGATTCTAAACAAATACACGATAGGTCAAACCAATACTCACTTCATTTTTAGGGATGAAGATCTGATCCAGTCTCATTCAATCTAATGATTTCCTTACATCTCATGGCTACCAGTATTGCAAAGACGCACAGCTTCTTCCACTTCCTTTCCCTCACTAGCAAGCAAAAACAGAGCGTCTAGGTGAGCATTCAACGTCTAAATTTTATGCTTGCTTTTGACAAATTTATGACTTAACCGACACAAAAAACCACCTTATCTAGTTGCACTTCCTTCCCATTTCTCTCCGGGAGAAGGTGTTCGTATCGATTTGGCGGCACACTTGGAGGTATGTGGGAGAGAATATCAAGTATGAATGGGACCAACAGCGTATAGTTTTGCTCTATCAGTCTGTCCAGTGAAACAAGATCAAGGTGCTAAAAATGAAAATTGTAGGGCGAGCTACGATTTGGCACTATTCAAATAATATGAAGAATAAACAAAGAAGAAATGGAAAGGAAAACGCAAACGCGCCTCAGCAAATCGGAATGCCGCATCCAAACAAGACAAGTTCCGAACTTCTATATACTCGTTGACATCCTCGCACACTATCAGTATACGAGCATTATGATGAAGACGAACTTGAGACAGCAATGGAGCGCTTGGGAACGATGTTCCTGAAACCAGACACAATCAATACCCCGCGAACTTTTTTGAGGCACAGTGGTAAATCCCTTACCTAGATCAACTAAAGCTTGCTGAACTTGCAAAGACGGCGCATCGCTAGAGCTACATGCTTCGATCACCCAATCTTTGTCATGTATTTGTCGCTAAAACAAATTTTCAACAGTACGCTATACTCTAAAAGATAGACAATGCAACTTACCAGGATACTGTCCACACTTTCTACGGTTACCGCCTGGCTATTACAAAAATCACGCCACTCGCGCTTGAGCACGATGTCAACATCAATGGTATCGTAGCTTTCCGCTAGGCTCTTGGCGCGGCTGTAGTCACGCTCGTTCAACTAAAACACAGCATTTTGCTGATAAGAAAGAATATACATGGTACCTGACCGTTCGCTCAAATAGTTCCTGCAATGTCCTTGTCGGAGCATGCAGCAAAGCAAAGTTCAGCGATTCAGAATGTGTGGCCTTCTCCAAAGGAGCTGGCGCATCTCCAGCAGCAATACCCATAAGCTGAGGAAAAATAACGATGATTCACGAATTTACAATAAATCAAGAATGCCTACATTTTTGAATGAGCTCCAAAGAGTGAAGATCCATAAGCGACACGCTAGAGAAGTACGTCTAAGTGCAACTTCACGTAACGTCTCACTTCCAGCCTGAAGACAGAGTATACATAAGTAGCGAATTTACAAAATCAAGACGAAAAGGAGCTTACATCAGTGGCCAGTATAAAGAGCTCGCGATAACGTGGCGCCACTAGCGTGGTTCGTGCTGTGAACATGTCAGTATACTGGACTGCATAGATGGCATCTTTCAAATCTTCTAGTGAGCTCCTGATCATTTCGCCCGAATGGAACAGCACACCGACCTCCTACAGAAAGGGTTATAAAAATTGGCGACAAAAAACCAAATCCTTATCCGAAGCACCAGAAAACCTTTCAGCAGCGAGTGAGAAAGTACATCCAGATGAGTCAAAATTGTTCACGGATGTTCAGTTGATATAAAACGATGTAAATATCACCAGAAAAAGACCTACACAACCACTCCATTTCTCTTATAACAATTTCTACCTCCTTACGTCATGAAGGAGTTAGAAATTGTTAAAAATGATCTCAACCTCAAACTATTATAATGATTTCCAACCAAAAATCTCGTAAAAAAAAGGTGACTGTAATGATAATAAATCTGAATGATTTCAGAAGCTTCCAAACTACTGCACAGAAGCAGGAGTAAGTGGAACATTCTAAACTGACACACCTCATCTTCAATGAAGACTGTTTGAACAGGCCGTGGTCCTGAGATGTACTTGACTTGAAAGGCTAAGCGTGTAGATGGCAACTAAAACTCATTCTTGAACATATAAAATAAAAAAGTGAGCATTTTTCAGAAATTCTCTCTCGGAAATGGAGATAAAAAGCGTACATCAAACAAGAAAAAATCGCCAATGCTGGATACCGCAGCAAGCTTCGAGTGTGATTCATTCATAGACATGGAAACCAGATATGCATATGACGCAGAACTGAATGGAAGTCGCGAAAGCCATCCGCCTAGAATCGACTTTAATGAGGAGTGTACGTGCGAATGTCAAAAATTGAAAAAAAAAATCAAATTAAAAAATATGTTAAAAACAATGATCCGAAAATCAAAAGAGTCCATAAAAAGCTACATACCTTGCTCGTCTGCCACTCTAATTGGTTCAACAAAAGGATCGGTGTCGATTAGGCGGAATGAGCTTAACCCTCCCGGTAGGATTTCATCTGCAGACGCTCGATAATGAGCAGAAACCAGCAGTAGGTTGTAGTTGGGCAGGACGCAAAATGTCCCAGCAAGACCGATATCTAGTGATATCGACCACAGTTCTTGATATCGCGTTAGCCGCCTAAAATTCAAAGTCTGGTAGATAGAGGTAGGAGTAAGATAGGCTAACCTACCCGATTTTGAAGACGGACATTGTGCCATGATACTGTAGAGCATACAAAATATCCGCATATTTTTCATCTGATGAGTGATTCGGGACAGTTCTTATAGCAGAGATAGCACAGACCAGATCCAGATTGTTCTGTGGCGCTTCCTATAAGGACGTTACGATATAAAAAGCAAATAGGATGAGAAAAGACACAACCTACCAGGGGTATGTCGTAGCAGTAACCGCCTTGGTGATCAAAAACGTCGATTTGTGCACTACTTCGGGTAGATAGCAGTAGTGTTCCAGATGCACTGAATTCGAGCAGGCAATATTGCGGAAATTCATCCTCCAGAACTGAAAAAAATATATGCTGAAATATATACTTACCTGTTGGCTACGACAGATCTACTTAAACTGTATCTTAGTCACTTCGTATCAGTCAAAATCAAATCTCAAGAACAAACACAAAATGAGATGCACCTTTGAAATCAAAATCACAAATGATCCAAAATCAAAGATAACATCTCGAACTTTAAGTTCAGACGGGGACTACGGTTTTCACTTCATTAGGCCCCGGTCAGAGTTCACGCGACTTAATCGTCGCGATCTAATCGCCAAGATTTCCATTCATTTTCATTTCACATTCAAAAATTTCGGTCTGGAAAAGTATCACAACCGAATGCAAGTTGATCGGCATGGAATGATGTTGTAACAGTTGTCTCGTCGCGACTCAGTCGCGACGATCAAATCGCGTGAAGTCTGCCCGGGGCCTTAGACCATACCTTGAACGCTTGATTCTTGGACGATTTTCTGACCATCGATGGCGTAGACATCCAACTGACGACTATGATGCATGAGAGCAAAGCGGTCTGCAGCTCTGTAAATGTTATTTGATGTAAACATGAACGTTATTTAAAAGAAATAGGAAAAACTTTGTAAGCAAAGTAAAAAAAAACTCACGGAGAGACTGTAATTTTGCAAAATGGCAGCGATTCCACATAACTAGCGATTTGCGTAGGAACCAACAAATTTGGCGACTTGATTTCCACAGTGTCTGTCCATTTTAACATCTCATACTTCTCTTTCAGAAGTATCTTCGAGTTTTCTTCGGCATCTTTCGTGTAATCGAGTTCAGACTCGAGACGTCGTCTCGACTTCTTCATAATCTAAAACAACACTTGAACCATGTATGGCGAATGCAAATGAAATGGTGTGCAGAAACTGCAGAACAAAGTTGCAAAAGATAACACGGTGATCAAGTTCCAAATGTTCTGCATCGCCTGACGCGCTCCAGTGATAAATTCGGCGCAGAAAATCGAGTTGGAGCAAACTGTGCAACAGTTTTTCCAAATTCGTCATATTCTCTTTAGTTTTCTTATTTTTTGCAAACCTGTTATTTATACAGTCGAAATGATGAAAAATCGGGCGGCAGATGCGGACAACGCGGACGATGAGATGGAAGGAAATCAGGTAAGATTTTAAAATGTCCTGATTTCATTAGATTTCGTTTCCAGTAACTTTATTTGCAATATAGTACTTATTTAGGCATCAAAAGCCGCTCTTACGTCCATGCCCTATCAGTGCCAAGAGTTGATCCTTTACGGAAGTGTATTCGCCGATAACTTGCCGGTAACAATGTTCTTTATCTCATTATCGTCTCTTCGTTGATTTCCCATTTTCATGTATTCTAAGTTTCTCAGAGCTTGGTGTTAGAATGCGCAGAGAACGATCATTGTTGTTCAGTGTACTTATATAGTTATCATACGAATTTACTGTTCCGAAGTAGGATTTGGAGCGAAGGCTGACGGGTTTGTGCGATCCTGGTTCAACAGAATTCCATGAACACGATCTTTCCTTCAGTCTTCGGACAGGAACTGATCCGGATGTTACTATCAGGTTCATAGCTGTTTTCGCTTTGTCCAAAAAGCAGATTGAACGTCTAACCTCCCAGGTTACGACGGCGTTTCAATGTCGATTCGTTCAACAGCCACCAGTGGCAGTTCCGATACATTGGAGGTAAGGAAAACTTCCTCTGAATTTTCCCTGAAAATATAATCCAGTTCATTTTTGCAGGACCGGAACCAGATCAGAAATGTCCTGTGATTGTGCGGAAGGTCATAGATTCCATTGCTTACTCACATTTAATGATGGACTTCGTAAAAACCTTGGGTAGGTTTCGATGGTTTGCTTGGCTCGATTTTCTGTCCTTGATTCAGTTCAAGATTGTTATTATTATCACACTTTCGCTATCTGTTCAGTGTTTGTTAATATCAGTTTTTTACCTGTGACCAACCAAAGTTAATCAACCCTTTGTTTTCCGTTTGGTTTGTGCTGTTTAATATCTTACAATGAGTTGAAGTGTGTGCTGATTTCTGCATTGATTGTAGAAATCCTCAGGTCTGCGCATGGATTACGAGTATATAGCTAAAGGAACGGTGTGGACGAATGGGAAGATGAAAGTAGTGTTGAGCCAAATTCAGAAAACCGAAAAGGTTTGCTGCTTGAAAATACTTTAACCAAGTTTCTGAATTCGTCAGTAATGAAAATCTTTTTATCAAACTCTGCATCTAGGCGGGCCATTATGATCAGGCAAATCTGAAGCGATTTTCCGATTCGTATCTCGTTGAAATGAGTGTTTGCCTCCCAGATTCGGCTGAATACATGGCTGTAAGTTGATGCCATAGTTCTAGTTCTTTTTCTTTTATTATTAGCGTGACTTTATGAAGTACCTTAAACTCTGTTCGTAGGCTGCCAAGCAGCTACGAGATTTCGCTGATCAACTATTGCCTTTGGTCGAGATGGAAAAAGTGGATTACTGGAGGAAGTGAAGCTCATATGATGATATCTTTTTTTGGCTTTTGACTATGCATAAATTATTCTTCTTTTCAATATCTTTCATTGGAAAGGTTTATTTCCTCGAGTTGCTGCATTCAAAAGTACTACTTGTCAATAACCTTCTCTAGATATTGACATGACAGATGCTGTCGGAGAAAGTGATCTAGCGGATATGAAAAAGGATGAGGAGCCTTCGCATGTAAAATCAAATATGGGAGGTAAGATCTCTGTATCTCCAAATTTTTCTTAATCCAAACTCCCACTCATGCGTTTTTGCAGGTCATGTAGTCGCTGAATGTACTTCGACAACATCTTCAAATCAGGCCGAAGATGATCATGCCGGATATTGTGTTAATGAGCAAGCAGAGGGAGAAAGTAGCGGTGAGAAAATATCGATTTCAATCATCATTCCGTGTTCTTCATTTTCTTTTGTCACAGGTGCTACAAATGATTCTCAGCAAAGGAAGCTAAGGCTAGCAGTTGCTGGATGCGCACATGGTGAAATGGATAAGATCTATGAAGTTTTGGCTGAGATAGAACAGGAAAAAGGCTATAAATTTGATCTACTTATCTGCTGCGGTGATTATCAGGTAGGCCTATTCCATATCTTTTCCAAGGCTACCATGAAAGCAACTTTTTTAGTCGGTGAGAAATTATGGAGATCTTCATCATATGCATGTAAACGAAAAGTATAGATCAATACAGACATTCTACAAGTATTATTCGGGTGAAAAGGTGGGACATAAAGTTTGTTGGTTACTTTGCTTCGAGTTTTGTACTGTTATGTTTAGACTGCACCGATACTCACAATTTTTGTTGGCGGGAATCATGAGGCTTCCGGATATTTGGCAGAGTTACCTAACGGAGGCTGGGTCGCGCCTAATATATACTACATGGGATTTGCAAATGTTATAAGGTTACTCTCCTTTTTGGCTGATGATTTGTCTTAGAAAACCTGGCTTTTAGGTTTGCTGGATTACGGATAGCTGGCCTATCTGGCATATACAATGGGAGGGAATTTAATCGAGGTGGGAGAATGTCACTATTTTTGTTGTGTTTTTATCATCGTCGTAGTCAAAAATGAGTATTCAACAGTATAAATCCTTGTAGGACATTATGAACGCCCGCCATACAAAGATCGGAGTGATATTGTTTCCTCGTATCATGTTCGGAATATTGATGTGTGGCGATTAAAACAGCTAAGACCAGCTGACGACGACAGCACCAGCGTAAGCTCTACAAACTCAGTCTAGGTTTGTCTCATACTATTTGTAGATCACTTTCAGAACCCTGTAGATATTATGGTCAGCCATGACTGGCCCGCTGGGATCGTAGACTTTGGCGATAAAGATTGGCTGCTTAGGGTTAAACCGTTTTTCGCTGACGACGTCAGCAATGGAAAGCTAGGAAATCCTTCCACTATGCAGTTACTTTATGTGAGTTTTGATTTGCTCTACATAATATTATCATTGCTATGTTGGAATCGGGTTTTCAGGATATTCGACCCAGATATTGGTTCGCGGCGCATTTGCATGTAGCATTTGCTGCTCTGGTAGCTCACGATGGTAAGGATGGCTCTGCTGGGGCGAGTCCGACAAGATTCTTGGCTCTAGATAAGCCTATACCGAGGAGGCAGTTCATACAGGTATATCTTCGGAGGAGCTGAGAAGAATTTCACTGATCTTGTAATATTGGAATGTTAAAAGGAATATAATTTTGTAAAAGCATATTTTTGTCATTTTCCCTTCTTTTTTCTTTTCGTCTTTTCTTTCCCAATCAGTTTGTTTTGATAAACTTCACTGTCCAGATGGCCTTTTTCAATATTTTAGGCTTTGGAACTAGACATAGCTGAGGATGCCGAACTCAAACTGACATATGACCCGCAATGGCTAGCCATTTTGAAGAGCACAGACAGTTTCACTACAATAACTCGCTCAGTGAGTGGTAGAATATCCCAAGATTTTGTAGCTCACTGATTTTTCTAGAACGCCTATTTGCCTTCTGCTCACAGCAACGAGCGATGGGACTTCCGACCCACCGATGAGGAATTAGCGAGCATTAGCAAGCTTGGAGACCTGAGCATACCGGAAAATTTCCAACAAACTGCGAAACCACTGCTAAAGGACACACCAGAAGCGAGAAATGCGCATTCAACCCCATACTACAGGTAAGGGTACTTTCTAAAAGTTTTTTAAAAAACTTTTTGGTTGGTTCAGAAATCCACAGACGGCTGAATTCTGCTCTTGGTTGGGCATTCAGGATCTAAACAAGATGCTTGTGGATAGGGATTCTGACAGTGTCGACATCGCACATTATCTGGTGGAAAATAGTACGGATGACAGCGAGATTCAAATTGACGAGGAAGTGGGTTTTCTTTGATTTTCACGTTAAAGACAGTTTCTGTTTTATGTATACTGTTTGGTAGGATCTAGCTAAGCCATGCTCAAACAGCAGCTCATAAACCCTCTTGTGGCTGAGAAAATCACCTTCGTACTGATACCATAGTCTTTCTGAGCTGACCAATCAGCCTAGTCGAGTACGAAAGTACTGTTTGGGCTGCATCTAGAGCTAAATCTCTTGTCCTGGTAAATATGAGCTGCCGTGGCAGTGGCATAGTGAAAACCATTTCAAACTCAAATGCTCGGATCTGATTGAACATTGTCTCGAAATCAGCTGGTCGGCAGATTCTTGACTTGAGGTTTTTTTGCTTACCTGGGGTAATTCAAGGCGCTGATTTCAAATCCACGTTGAAGAGCGCGAAAATGGCAAAAATCACCATTTACTAAGGCCCTTCATTTGGACGAGTGGAGCGCGTCCCGCCATGGTTAGAGAGGCAGAATCGTTGCGGTATCTTCGCAGCTATAATATTGCGGCATGCTTCTCTGACGGGTCGGGGAGAATCGCAAGCTCGTCCGCGCGTATTAGAATGGCTTGCGCGTAACGCAGTTTTCTAGGCAAGGACAGCATACTATACGCTCAGACCTGCTCTGTTCTCATGTTTGGGGTGCAAGCAACATTCCTGTCAAAATTTCGGGATGTTCGGTTTTGGCGACCTGCTGCCTTAGAAGGCTTTTTAATTTTCCTAGGCTAAATTTGTACTCAAATTTGATCGTACACAATATTTGTCTATTGAAGTTTTCAGATTTTCGACGATGGCGAGGACTTCGTGCTTGACACGCGTCCAACACCAGATACGCTTCCATCACCGAAAACTCCACGGGACGCCCCAGACGATCCTCTGAATGACTTTGTTCCACCTAAACTCACTCCCAAAACAACTAAGGATGCATTACCAGATATTTTAGATGATTTTTTACCTCCAAAAATCACACCAAAAAGTAGAAAAGATGATAGTAGTGATGAAGTTGTTTTTAAACGTCGTAAAGTTGATATTCCCGATGAGGAATGAGCCGTGCCACAACTTTTTACCTTGATCAATACTACCTCATTCGTTGTTGATCTTGTCAAGTGTTTGTTGCATTTGGATCTCTTTTTAATGTAAATAAATTATTTGTTTTGTTCGGATGAAATGCACATTAAGATGCATGATAAAAGTGGCTTATTCCGTTGAGGGGAATCTTTGCAATCATGAAATACAACCAAAAAAAAATGAATTTTTTTTCCATATTTTTGGAAATAGGTCGAATTACTGAAAGATCACAGACAAATTTGGAGTTTATTGCAATTGATTTTCAACATACATGTAAAAAAAAATTCGATTAATTCTTTATTAAAATATTTTCTTATTGCATTTTTTTCTATTGAACACATTATCAGTAATAAATTTTGAATTCAAATAAACTTTTTTTCTTTCAATAGTCACCAATAGTCAAAAAAATATGTGTGAGGGATTTTGAACTATTATACTTTCAAAATTTTTGGTGCAAGGCTTTATGACAATCTAATAAAGCTTGCGGTTTCAAGGATTTCTATCCGTTCAAATGTTTCCATGCAATACTAAGAAAGCGAAAACTGAATCTTAATGACGATTTACAGTTTTCATAAACGTAGAGAACATAGTTTACGATTTGTCGGAATAGATTGCGAATAGCGGCGATGATGGGGGAACAAAATAATCGCAATCGCACCAAGTGCGATCCTCGTAATCGCATCGCGATAGTTCTCGGATAACGATTGTTTTGCGGAGAAAAAGGGAGGACTGCTCGAGTATCGATGATGCAATTTAACGCATTTTTCGCGGATTTCTTAAAAAATTTCTTTGAGAGAGAATTTTGGAGTTCCATCGTGATGCTGCAGTGAAAGTTTTTTTTGCCGGCACTATCTCGAAAATCTTCGAAAAACTTGGCGCCCATCAATCAAATTGTCACTTTCCTTCCAGCCCCCCTCTCCTAGCCTAGTTTTTTCACAGGAATACCTTCCCACTCTCACTCAAATTATTCCCACTCACCGGATCTGGCCTGTAGATGATGACGTCGCCTGATTGCTAATCTCCGAAAAAGTATGGTGTGTGTTTTGAGTTTGCAGTCGTCGAGACTTTCGCTCCATATCGGGGGCCGGGCGGGTTTTGGGTGGGAGAACGATAATCTGAAATTGGGACGTGTACCCGAGAGTGGATTCGAAACGAAAGTCTTCGACTGCTGCGTCTCAAATAGTAGGTCAGCGCTCAACATCCGCCGCGACCGCATGGAGCCGTTTTTCGTTTTGGGCTGTCTAATCTCTATCCGACATTGATAACTGAAAACCGCTCTACAGACCCCATTTTTCTTTCCTTGCTCTTTTTTTTTCTGGAGAATTCCATCGCGAATTATTGATTAGCAACACGGAATTCGTACTGTTTCTAATTGTATTGACATCTACACATCTTTAGGGATGCAATATTTGGACTCCGAACGGGAGTCCGCTTATAAGGCTGTGATAGCCATCTCCCTCTCCACAACCATTGTTTCTACTGCCTTCCTCTTCACTGTAGCTCCAATGATTAGTGAATTCGCAGAGACGAATAGTGATGTATTGAAAAGTGATGCAGCTTACTGTGGGGTAAGTAATTCCAATAAACTTTGCTCTTTTGTAATTCCATGAAAAATAGCTCGAAGTATAAACTTTCGAAAAACGCTAAAAAATCTTTTACAGCAGTAATTATAGAGAACGAAAATCTTTACACCATGCCGTGAAATTAATCTTTGTGAAAACTTCTTTTTCTTGATTTTTCTCGTTCTTCGATGTAATGATGATGCAAGCAAAAAATAAAGCTCGCAAATCTAGTTTTTATGATCCCCGGTCTCTCTTTCTGATTTGGAATGCTAAATATGTAAAGAATGATTGGTTTAAATGTGGTTTTATAATTGAAATGTACGAAGATGATTTTTCCAAATTCGATAACCTTTGAACTCAAACATGTGGTCAAACATGTAATATGCCAGCCAATAAGAATTTCTGTCTTTGATTTAGACAACGTCCAGAGAACTCTCATCTCTGCTTATGCGATTTGGATACAATCATGTGAATTCTACGGGACGACCAAGGCGGAAAAGACAAAATTTCGGCGATCAAGATTATGAAGAGGAAGAAGAAGGTTGCAAGTGAGTTTTCCAGTAAAAGCTCAAGCAGTTTGACTCCTTCTCTATATAGCCACTTATTCTTTTTCCCAATTATCGCAGAAGTACACTCGTTTTCATGCGCCTGCTTTTTGGCATTTGTTTGCTTCTCAATATTTTTGCGCAATATTCCTTGCTGAGTTGATTTGTCTATCCAGAAACTTCTGGGAAATAATTTTGATACAGCGATTAGTAGCAAACTTGCTTTTGAAGACTATTCTTCGCTCTTTCTCAGATCTTTTTGGTTGCCTGTAGATCTCTGTGTATATTGCAATCACTACGTCTTCCTCATCTCTTCTTACTAGATCAAAATATAATAGAACCCTTTTCAAAGTAAAAGTAGCAAAAAATATTGGAATAGATCAATTATCTAGTCCATTCAAACACTAACAACAATCCGAATCCAATTATTAGTGAGGCACTGGGGAATCTCCTTTCGGAAACGTTAATGACTTCGACAGCTGAACGCTCAACTAAGTAGTGAATCAATGTCGTTCATGGGCCATAAAGTCGCGCCACTCTGTCCCTAGCAAATCTAATTCCTAAGAGAAAAGTTTTTTTTTGAAAGTCTGAGACGCATGCGATTTGCAGATTTATGAGAATAGAATTTCATTCATAAGCATATCAATGCTTGTATCGCAACAGGTGTCCGTATATTTCCTCCAAGAGTGGAGACGCGGGAGGGGAGCGACAGAAGATTTTTTCGGATGAAGGGACTTGGGATAGGCCACACCTTCAGGAAAAATTTTGAGATACATCCCAAATCTTTTGCGGACCTGCAGTAGAGAAATCTTGAGGACAGAAGCGTACGGTGCCCACCCCTCCCCCCCCCCCCTTCCCTCTTCGAAAAAAAAGTTCCTATGAAGCAGCAGTAAACCTCAACATATGCAATGCTTATCTTGTAGATGTGAATACCCTATGGGACCACCTGGTCTACCAGGACGAGACGGATTGCCTGGACCCGCTGGCGCTCCCGGAGCGCCAGGATTGCCGGCACGGTTACCTTGTGAACCTCCAATTGACTTCAAGAAAGCTTGCCCAGACCCGTGTCCTACTGGAGCTCAAGGACCAGCTGGTGAACGGGTAAGTCACATTAGACTTGGGTAAAGCTGAGAAAGCCTTCATTTTTAGGGACCACCAGGTGACAAGGGAGCTCTTGGTATACCAGGACACCCTGGAAAACGAGGAACGGACGGAAAACTAGGTCCCAAGGGAGAGGTGAGCGCCTCATTATGATTCATCATAACTCTACAATAAGGCTTTCCAGACGGGCCCCCGAGGTATCCCCGGATTGGATGGTGAAGTAGGTGACCCGGGAGAAGATGCCGTGCCGCAACCGTTCATTCCGGGACCACCCGGAGAGATAGGAAACGAAGGACCTCCAGGGCCACCGGGTAAGCATAGAACATTTTAGAACTGATGAAGAACGTTTTTGTTATAGGACCTGTGGGAATGCCAGGAATTGATGGACCTATAGGACCAGCAGGACCTCGAGGTCGAAAGGGTAAGGACGGTTTCCCTGGCGGTAAAGGAGAGGCAGGTCCTGAAGGAGCTATGGGTGAACCGGGAGAGGATGGCGAGAAGGGGGTAAGTTGTACATAATAAATAAATTTTAACCATAATGCCTGTTTCGCGTGTACTTCAGTTTTTCTCTATAAAACAAATTTTTTGGAAATTTTTTCAAGGTCTGCCCTACCTACTGTGCTACCGACGGTGGTGTATTCTTTGTTCAACCACCGGATTGGTTTTTCAATGACTGATTGGCAAACTGAGCTGCTTCTACCAGCTTCATTTCAAAATCTCATTGTACAGTATCACTTCACTGAGTCAGGTCGCTAACATTCCTTTCATTTGTTTCGATTATTCACTTTTTTCATTTGCATTTGCATGATTTCTGAAGTAATTCAGCTAGATTATTCATACACGTCTTTCTTTCACCTTTTTCACATTAATAACGAATAAATATATAATAATATTGTATTTATTTATCTTCAAAAAATCAGAGTAATGTATTATTGCATAAAAACTCTCGATGCGTAGGTGTGGCTCTCCTAGACTTGTGAATAACCTCGAAAATACCCAAAATTTTCTAGAAACTCAAATTACTTAGATACTTATTGTTAGATGACCCGTCTTCACGTGGCGTGCGGCCACAAATGTTGCCATTTGTCCCTGCCCCTCGCTTCAGACATCCACGATCTTCTTGGTTGCCGTCGGTGGCTGCGTCCACGGGTACCAGGTGCGAAAATCGTATCTAGCTGATTTCTCAGCTGGTCCATCCATTCCACGAACACGTCTGCCCATCTCGTCGGTGGTCTTCCTCGGGGACGTTTGGCTTCGCGAGGAATCTACTCAGAGTTCTTAGGGCCAGATCCCACCGCCTTCTGGTTTTTTGGTCGCTAGGCTGTTCTGCTCCCTGCTCCAAGCCCGAAGTCAGCGATCGCCCAGTGGAAATCAAGTGTTGGCCTAGTAAGTCTGCTCTTGTAGGGAAAAAATCTTATTACTCGATCAGCATAGAAAAGAGGAACTCAAATTAGCCTTGTGAGAAACTTTTGGAGAGTGGGGGTTATGAGACCACAGAAAAAATTTCGGGAAACACCCCAAAGATCTGGGGAGTGTGGCTAAGCGACCGTTCATTCAAAATTTTTACATCCCTTCTTCGTAAAAGTATAAATGATCGTGTCTCTTTGTGCATCTACCCAAACGACTCTCTCCCCCACCTCCATCCCCCCTCCCCTCCCCGCCCCGCTTTCCTAACTCCATCTTCAGATTCCTCGAGGAGAAATCAGCATGTACCACTGGCGTAACCAGGAATTTCCATTTGAGGAAGGGAAGGGGGTGGGGAGGGAAGAGGGGCAACAAAAATTCTTTTTTTAAATGAAGGCTAACGCCACGTACTTCGAAAAATTCTTTGGAAAGCTTCCGAAAAATTCTCTAGGCCCATAACCCAAAATAGCGGCAGTCAAGCCCTCGACGATTTGTTTATGTAAGGCTAATTTAAATTCTCAAAAATTTTCAAATATTAATCACAGGTATAATCATCACTTGCACATTTTTCAACACAGTAAGTGACTTCCAATTTAGTGAATCTTGGGATCTATGAAAGAGTCAAAAAATTCCTGATAAGGTATAGGGGCATTGTGGCAAGAAACAAGCCCTGTGCTCGTGACCCATTTAAAAATAGGAGGGGTTTGTAAAGCACGGTCAAGTTATCCATTCAGCAACAAAGGTACAGAACAAGCAGCCTAAGCTATTGATAGTGTCCAAAATTAATTATGTGACGGCCCTGCGCCATCGCTGTTCTAGCGTCGTGCCAGCGCCGTGCCGGACCCACTTGAACGCACCCCATATTGATCGACCGAGGTTTCAGCACAGCGCTAGCATGGCACTGGCAAAAAACTTAGAAACTATTACAAGTTTTGTGTACCTCGAACTTAAGTTTTTTTGCAATATAAAAGAGTACTCTGGTTTGATCAGAAAAAGCTAGTGTCAATGAAGGCAACCCGCCACGTGCCAAAAAATTGACATATCATCTACCTGTTTAACAGGTTTTACCAAGTTTTTGAATGGAAGGCCCAAACAAACAAATGGTTTGTTCACAGCGCGCAAACAATCATATGACATCAAATTTGGGCTATTTGTATACAATATTACTCCAAACTACATTATGTAAAAAGTTTCAAAAAACTTGTGCGTCCTTATACCTCCCAACTTTATTGGTTTCTAGACCAGCTCCAAAACTAACTAGGCTAGTTCGGAGCATAAACATCGGAAAGTTCACGCAAGTTTGGGACCTTTTTGCATTGGACGACAGAAAGCATAGAAATCTAACCTTCAAAATGGAGGTTCAACAAGTTTTTCAACGTGTTCAGACGTCTGCAAGGCCACGCCCGCTATACGTATATCGCCTATACTTGCAGTAAGCGAGCGATAATTTGAAGAATGTCCTATTTTTGCGAAAGCTAGCTGAAGGAGATGAACGCGAATGAATACTACTCCTATGAATGAATAATGAATTTTATCACTTCGATTCGAGTCTTATACGCAGCCTGCAGCTAACTTCAAGCTAACAAGGGTTTGCCATTTATCTAAAAGTGTTTATACTAGACGGTCATGTACTGGCAGACACTTTCAATCTGGCTACTCTGTGTGCTCGTATCACCAGAAATGGAAGCCATATTCGATGGAATTTCACTTGGTGTAAGTACTTTCTTGTTGTTAACTATGAATTCAAAAAAAAGAGCGGGCAAGTTTTTCTGAAGCCAGATACTCTTTCTATAAATATAATCGATCTCATAATGGCGTATCTCTTCCAGTCACAGCAGTTAATATATGGATCGTATTGTTCATAGTCTGTATATTCTAGAATATACAGCTAGCAACCCCCACAATGGTCGGTCGCCTCATCGTGGCGTGGGGGTGGCACTGGGTGTCGAACTGCGATGCACAGCCGAGTGTATACTCTGGTAGGGCCTCCCAAGCTGCGAAGAAGTTCGACGTTTCCGCTTTCGGCCGGATGCCTATAAGAACCGGCCACGCCAGATCCCCCGCCGTCTGGCTTCTTCTGGTCTCTAGGCGGTCTCTTCCCGCTCCAAGCCCGGGGTCAGCGATCGCCCCGTGAAAATCAAGAGTAGGCCTAGTAAGCCACCTCTTGTAGGGAAAAATTCATATTACTCCATTTAGAAGATCAGAAAAAAAACCCTGCACATCGTATCCGCCTACGGCGCCGGGTGGTAGCAAGAACGATGTCAGGGTACTCAGGGCGCCTTTCGGATTGGACAAAAACGACACGTCTGCCCGGACGACACGCCATGGAGACTGCCTCATGCTATGCACCTACAACGCCAGGACAGTCTCTACAAACGCCGACCTCCACGCTCTTCTCGACGCTGCAGAGCACATCAACTACCACATCATCGTTCTGCAGGAAACGAAGTCCAGGAAGAAGGACGTGCGACAGATGAGTGATGGTACCCTCATCATTCGTGGTGAAAAGGTTCCATCACGAAACGTGAGAGACGTCGGCTTTGTCGTCCACCCATCTATCGTCCATCTTGTCGATTCGCACGAGATCCTGTCACCTCGACTAGGCATCCTACGACTACGCCCTCCACGTCAGAAGACCATCAGCATCATCACCTGCTACTCGCCAACATCAGCAGCTGACGACTCAGAACTAGATGCTTTCTACGAAGACGTGGAGGAGGTCGTCCGCAACGAAAAGTCCTTCTACAAGTATGTTGTGGGCGACTTCAATGCGAAAATCGGGATGCCACTAGAAAAGGAATATAGGATCGGGAAGTTTGGATTTGGGCAACCGTCTCGCTGGGCTTCTCTCCGCCGCACGACTCTTCCATGGAAACTCCATCTTCATGAAGAAAGAATATCGCCGGTGGACTTGGGAATCGCCCAACGGAACGACTCATGCTGAGATCGACAACACTCCCACCAACCGAAGGTGGAGCTTACTCGATGTCACTGTAGTTGCATCCTTCTGTAGTGGCTCCAATCAACGCCTCCTTCGAGCGAAGATACGACTCAGCCGAAGGCTGGAAAAGAAAGTCTGTCACAGTGCCGCGATAAGGAAGGAAGTCGTTTATGACGGTAACAGGCTGGAAGAGCTCATATCAAGTTGTGACTGGCCCATCGAGGAGGACCCAACGAACGACTACGACCGGCTTCTGAAAGGATCGCGAGCCTGCGGAGAATGCGCCTCAGTGACTTCTGAGAAGAACTTGGAACGCATTTCGAAGACCACCAAGGAATTGCTCGAAAGAAGAAGATTTTTGAGGCAGGATCCGAATGCAACCCATCTCGAGCGACTGATAGCCAACGCCAGTTGCAGAACAGCTTTGCAAGAGGATCTCAGGAAGTACAGGCAAGCCAAGATACTGGAAGCAGCCGAAAGAAGACGAAGTCTCAAGAAGTGCCGAAGGGACCTCTGCGAATATCACGTACCGCTGGCTGCACTACTGAACGAAGACGGGACTCCAACTTCTTCCCGATACAAGATAGAATCTATCGCGAAGAACTTTTACACCAACCTCTTCCGCTCATCAACACCCGTGCAGATGCCCGTTGTTCCCACTGGAGAAGTACCACCACGAATTCTACCTGCTGAAGTGCGTATCGCGATACAGACCATGAAGACGTCCATGGCTCCAGGACCAGATCATCTTTCCTCGAACTTCTGCGAGCCGGAGGACACCGTCTACACGAGATTCTAGCGTCGCATTTGACATCTTACCTTCAGAAGGAGAAGATTCCCGACCAGTGGAGAACGTCAAGAACCGTCCTTCTCATCAAGAAGGGTGAACAGGAGGATCTTCGGAACTATCGTCCAATATGCCTGCTGAGTGTGCTGTACAAGCTTTTCACGAAGATTGTCCTCGCTCGCATATCAAGGACACTGGATGAAGCCCAACCCCAAGAACAAGCTGGATTTCGCAAAGGATTCAGCTGCATGAACCACATCCAGACCGTTTCGAGGGTCATAGAAGTCTGCCGGAAGTACCGACTGCCTCTCGTCCTAACCTTCGTCGACTACGAGAAAGCCTTCGACAGCGTCGAAACCAACGCTATCCTGTCAGTATTCGAAGGAGTGGACCCAGCCTACGTGAGGACACTAGCCAACTGCTACAAGGACTGTACAACAACGATGCAGCTGTTCCATCGCCCCCTGACCATACCAATCGGGAAGGGGGTCCGACAAGGCGACACAATCTCGCCGAAGCTGTTCACCGCGGCCTTGCGGGTGATGAAGTCACTGGACTGGGACGAGGGAGGCATACGAGTTGATGGGAGATTCCTGTCCAACCTTCGTTTTGCGGACGACATCGTTCTCTTCTCGAGCAGTATCAT